AGGATGACTTCCCAGCGCCAGTCTCGCCCGTGATGCCCATGTCCAGCTGGATGCTCTCCAGCGACTCCAGCATCTCCTGCAGCCTGGAGGCCACTCCAGTGAGGTTCCCCTCCTCAAAGGCAGCTTTCAGGGCCTCCAGCTCCTCCCTCGACAGCTTGATGATGCCCTCACTGCTCTGTGAGGCCATGTCAGCTCCGGCAAGCTGCTGCAGCCCCTGCCTTAAAGAGGGAAAGGCCAGTTCTTGTGTGAGTTCCTGGGAATGCTGAACCGCTGAAACCCTCATCTAGGTCTTTGTCTCTGGGTAGCTCCTCCCAGAGACCCAGCCCCATCCTAGCCTCCATCTTCTCTGGCCCAGCCAATGGCTGCTCCTTCCCCTCTGACCTCCAGCTTCCCCTCAGCTGAGATTCTCACCCTGGCCTCCATCTCCTCCGGCCTAGGCTATCACAGCTCCTGCCTCTCCCCAGCTCCCAGACCTCCACTCTGCTGGGATCCCCGCTCCCAGCCTCCATCTCCTCTGGCCTGGCCTATGGCAACTCCTGCCCCTCTGGCTTCCCAGAGCATCAGACACCAGCATGGGCTGGCTGGGAGGGGGAGCGTGGGCTCGAAGCAGGAGCAGAAGTGGAGCCAAAGGGTAGGAGATTGTATGGGTAGGGCCCTATCAAATTCACAGCCATGAAAAATGTCATTGACCGTGACATCTGCTCTCCCTCCCCCTGAAATCTGGTCTTTTGTGTCCTTTTACCCTATACTATACAGATTTCACAGGGGAGACCAGTGTTTCTCAAACTGGAGGTTCCAACCCAAAAGGACCAACTTGGGGGAAGGGGGGTGTTGCAAGGCTATTGTGGGAGGGCGCAGTATTGCCACCCTTACATCGACACTGCCTTCAGAGCTGGGTGGCCAGGGAGCAGTGGCTGCTGACAAGGCGCCCAACGCTGAAGACATTGCCCCACCAGCAGCAATACGCTACCAAGCCACCCTTACTTCTGTGCTGCTGCTGGCGGCAGCGCTGACTTCAGAGATGGGTGCCCGGCCAGCAGCCGTGGCTCTCCGGCTGCCCAGCTCTGAAGGCAATGCCGTTGCCAGCAGCAGCACAGAAGTAAGGGTGGCAATACCATGAGCCCACTCTTACAAAAGCCTTGCAACCCCCCCCCACCTCCTTTTGGGGTCAGGACCCCCTTGGTTACACCACCATGAAATTTCAGATGTAAATATCTGAAATGGTGAGATTTATGATTTTTAAAATCCTATGACCGTGAATTTGGCAGGGCCTCTTACGTGTGAGGTAATGAGCAACTAGGAACCTTTCACCAAGACCAGCTCCACGGAACCGGGAAGGGTCATCAGGGAAAGTGGGTGACTCCCAGTGGGGCTGAGAGAAAATGAAAGCTAAGGGTCAGACTGAGGGATGATTCCTTACTCTTGATAGTTACAGTGCTGAAGGCAAGAGTCCAGCCCCTCTAACCACTAGACTCCCACTCACCTCCCAGAGCTTGGTATAGACCCAGGAGTCCAGCATCCCAGATCCCTGTGCTCTAACCACTAGACCCCACTCTGCTCCCAGAGCTGTACATCAAACCCAGGTGTCCTCACTCCCAGTCCCTCAGTTCCCTCACCCACCTGCCCTCCCAAGGGAACTCTGGGTGCAGAGATGGTTCTGACTAGGGTTGTTTAATACACCAGCAGGGAACAGGCTTCTGCCTGCACCTCAGAGCGGGTTACTCCATTCACAGCGGGCTGGCCTCTGTCCCTGGCTCTGCCCCAGCATCTTATCCCCAGGGGTGTCCGCAGCACCATCCATGACTGCCATGGAAACATGCTCACATCTTATAGCCACATGCTGATTGGCTGGCTGAGCTTTCATGTGTGATGTCAAAGGCTGCGTGGTGATCCACTGTGTTCATTGCTCATTTGCATCAAGGGGCTCAGTGACAGCTGTAGAAAAACAGCCCATGCAGGGTGGGGCTAAGCAGTTGCTGTGGGCTGGGGTGCCCAGCCCCACTGGCTCTCCAGGTCTGGGACTGTTCCTCAGAGAGGACCAGGAATGAGGCCCTTTATTAGAGACTTTCCAAAGGGAAAATAAGAATCCATAAGAGAAGATCCCAATTGCAATCCCCAAGCTCTCCACCAGTCTGACCCTCAGTGCCCACTGGCAAAGGGCCCACTCTCCTGTAATTCACCCTAGGCCTAACACACTCACTACCCCCAATACACTGTTGTCCTAATATGTATCTAAAAGGTGTCATGGAAAGTATCATCCAAAAACAGGTGACAGGCTGATCCTGAAAATCACGTGATGCATGCAGAGTATGGATATAAAGAATGATGTATGAGTGCTGGCAATATGTTCTTACACTGTGTTTGGGAGGCAGTGCCTAAAGCAAGGCTGCCCCAGACCAGGGAATGTGGGTTCCCCTCTGAGCGGCTTGATGACAGGCAGAGCCCAATGAAAGGATATTTACATATAAGATAAACAAAGCCATCAAGCAGCAGAGAAAACTACTTGGTGAGCTTGCTCCAGGTCTGAGTTTGTTCCCCCTCCCCCAAAGGCTTCCTGGCTCGAGACAAAGACAAGGAGGCAAAAAGCCCTTTTGGTTATTCACCACTCAGAGGACATAGGATGGCGCCTGTGAATGGCAGATCCTCTTGGCCTGAAAGGCAGGAGCTAAGTGAGAAAACTGCTTAGGCAAAGATCATAACTTGCTAAAATTAAGTTTTAGGCAGCAGACAGTAAGCTTTGTTTGTAACCAGTCACCTCTTTTCCTCAAATCTTGGTTCTTTGTGAAACTTCTGAGTTTTCCTATCAACCATCTCTGAGCCAGTCTATTGAATCATAGAATATCAGGGTTGGAAGGGGCCTCAGGAGGTCAGCTAGTCCAACCCCCTACTCAAAGCAGGGCCAACACCAACTAAATCAAAGCATAAAGTGAGCCCTCAGATGGCCTAGCAGGCTGGTGTGTGCCTAGTCTCTTTGGAAACAGCTAACTTAATTTCTGTGAGCATCCCGGGAGAGGGACTGGATGCAGAGACGTCTCTGGGGACCTGCAGTTCACTGAATGTTACCTGCAAGGCAAGGAGAAGGCTGGCATTCTCGAGGCGTTTGCTGTGAGACAGACAGCCTGGCAGAGCAGGGAGCTGAGACACCGTATAATCTCCAGCAAAGCTCACTCTTGCTAAGGCAGAAGGGTAACACCATGGCTTGTGGTTCTGGGAGTCCTGACCAGAATGGCACAACAGGGACACAATCCTTACCCTCTCACCTCCTGCATAGGGATCCCCCAAACCCCCAGCTTCACTGCAACCTTGTTTGGATCAAAGAGCCGACTTGCTCTGATTCAAGCACCTATGGCAGCGGGAAAGGCGACATGCAGCCCCAGGTCAAGCCAAGGACTCCAGCACAGAGCTGTGTGTGAGGGTCGTGTCTAAGGGCCAGTAGAGAACAGGGCCCTGTTGTGCACCCCAAACACCTCATCCTCAGCCCCACCCAGAGTCCTCATCCCCCCCCGCCCCAACCCTCTGCTCTAGCCCTGAGCCTCCTCCCACATCCTAAACCCCTCATCCCCAGCGCCGCCCCCCCTTTCCCCAGCTGGAGCCCACATCCCCTCCCACACTCCGAAGCCCTCCCCCCACACACACACACCCTAACCCTCTGCCCCAGCCTGGAGCCCCCTCCCACACTCCAAGGCCCTCAGCCCCACATCACCTCCATATTGGTACACATAAATTCATTCCACACGTGGATGTAAATTTCAGGGAACATGCTGAAGCTCACCTACTACTAAAGCCATGTCTACACTTACAAGCTCACAGCTGTGCTGCTGTAAGATTGATGGTGTAGCCGCATTATGCCAACAGGAGAGAGCTCTCCTGTGGAAATCGGAAAATCAGGCCAACGAGCGGCAGTAGCTCTGTCAGCAGGAGAGCATGTCCCACTGACAGAGTGCTGGGCACATGAGTGCTTATGCCAGCAAAACTTGTGTCACTCAGGGGTGTTTTTTCACACCCTTGAGTGACAAAAGTTTTGCTGACATAAGTGCTAGTGTAGACATGGCCTGACGTCTGCCAGAACAGTCCCAGCCAGAGACCTCCAGTTCTCCCCAGCCAGGCTTCCATTAGCACCTGTGTGAACAGAGGGGTGGGGAGAGTGCTGCTAACTAGAGTTCAGCAAATAATGGATGTTTTTATTGGGGGACTGAACCAAATATTCTGGGGAAGAATCAGGTTGGAGTCAAACCAAATCCAATTTTTTTAAAAAAAATGTTGTCCAAGTGAAAAATTCTTGCTCTGGATTAACAAACATTTTGGTTAGCTCAAGTGAAATTTGAGTTTTCCTTTTCAATTCAGCCACGTGCTGGTGTTTTTTTACATAGGAAGTATTTTGGTTTCTAATTCAGCCAAAATAAACACTTCCTAAATAAAAAACTGAACCATTGACTTTAAAAAACCCCAACCCTTGACCCGGTGACTCCCCTGCCTCGGGTGGGCCCGATCCTCTTTTCAGCCAAAACTATGCTGAATTCAACCTGAATCCGTCAAGAGTCCCAGTGCCCCCAGTTCAGGTGCCAACACAACTGCTAGATCTCAGTGATCCTCAGACAGGCTCACGAGAGGCTCATTACTGGGTCTCCGGCAGCTCTGTGCAGCACAGGACGTTAAAACTCCGTGTGATGAACCACCAACAATCAGGATGCTTTTACTAGGTTAACCACCAGTTGTAGTTGATAAAATACTTGGTCCGTCATCTTGCTGTGAGAAGAATATATGAAAACCCAACATTTCCCGTCATACCGTTTAAACATGAAGAGTACTATTGTTGATTGCTAATTTGGTTCCTGAACCACTGAGGTCTGAGTGTCACCACTGTGTTAGATGCAGAGAACTACTGTTCAGTCCCCCCAGTTCCACCACGGACCAGCAGGGGGCAGGAGAGCTGCAGTCCACTCCACATCCTAGCAAGCCAGCCCCACCTTCCTCCTTCCAAATGTTCAGGGAGACTGAACTCAAACCAAAGGGTTTATTTCCAGTTACAAATAGATAAAATTACACAAGTATTTTAAAGTGGTTTTAAAAGTGACTATTACAGTGTCTCAGGCTTTCAAGTTAAGGTCTGGGAAGGTTTCTCTTGCTGAACTGTAATAAAAAGCAGCTGCACAGTTAAATCTGTCCAGCTGCTGGGAGAGGAGTCTGGCCCTACAGCCTCTGCTTGCAGGACAGCCTCCTGAAGAGCTCTTGCCAGGGTGGTTACACACTGTGACCCAACAAAGTGAAGGATTTGATTCCAACCTCTGTTATTCCTGGTAACCGATCCAGTCTGCTTTGGAGCCCCGCAAGAGAAAAATACAGATTCCACGGATGAGGCACCATCTACCGCAGCCTTGCAGCAGCCCCTTTCCCGCTTCCTGCAACAGGCTCGTTCCCTACAAGTATTTCTCAGTGGATCCAGATGCATGGTGGTTCAAGACTCCTGCCATTCATACTGAGGTTGGGGTGACAAGATAGTGGAAAAATGGGGACACTTTTTCGGTGGGGGACAGGGGGGACACAGACAGCAGGGGGGATGTAGTTGAGTTGTAGAATTCAGCCAGTTCAGACACCACAAAGATGACATCCTGACACACTAGTATAGCAGCGACAGTGGGGACCACACAACAATCTTCTACAGTCACAAAAATATACTTGCATTCCCTACATTCAGTGCTTTAGCATAACCAGGGCTCCCCAGCCTGCCACCTCTGGCAGCATAAAACCCTCCGATAGGCTTAAGTGGCACTACGGTGCTGCAAAGGCCTCACGCTGGCCTGCTGCATGGGCTGAATTTCACCCTCCTTGGGAAAGCCTGGTGCTAGCAGACATCCCCAAAGCAGGGTGAGCAATCTGCAACGCCAGCAAGTGGCAGGGGAGCCCCTCTGCTGGGTGTGTTCAGCAGCTGGGTTTGTCATCTGTCGTTTAGGAAAATAACGCTGGTTTATGCGAAGTTGCCTGCAGCGCAGAGGGCAAGACTCCAGCCCCACAGATCTACAGGACAGGGAGAATCTAGAAGAGGACTAAAAAGGCACTAGGTGTAACTTAAAAAAAAACAGTTAAAATCGCAGTGTTACAGTAGTTCACACAGAACATTTACAGCAGTTCATGGGGCAAGGGGCAGGACGTCAGCAGGAGAGGGGGATCCAAGCCAGGGCCAATGTCACACCAGGAAGGACGAGGTCTGTTTGAATTCTCCCTGGGGGAGTGAAAGAAAGACACAGTGAATTCCCATGTACATGAATTACAGTGAATCCTTCAAAACAAACCTGCTCCCTTTGCCCCCGTCCCTGAGCCCCTTGGAGAGAAAAGCTCATGGCACTGGGTAGCCAAGGAGAAACAGCGAGTTCCAGCAACGAGGACACTGGGCTGGGAATCAGGAGACCTGGATCCCAGTCCCTGCTCTGCCTCCCACCTTGAGCAAGTCACCTCTGCTTTCAGTGCCTGTTTCCTCTCCCACCCTATTTGTCGAGCCTGTCTACCTAGACTGAGCTCTTGGGGGCAGGTCTAACGCTGCAGTTACCACCAAGTGGCTCAGCAGGAGAGCACTGGGTTTCCTGGGTAGAAGCACAGACTAGGTTGCAGGTGAAGTTATGTTTATGGGCTCAACCTCTCTCATTGCAAAGCTGCCATGTGTCAGGGAAGAGCTGGCTGTTCACTTAGGAGAAAGCTGGCCTGGCAACACCCCCTGTTATTCCAGTCCTGTGTGAGAATCAACTTTGCAACTCCTCCCGCAGCCCATCTCCAGCATCAGTCCGTGTCACCAGCACACAGGGTTTGGGTCTTGTCACGCACACGTCCCTCTGTGCCTCGTGTGGAGCCCATGGGAGATCTACCTGTATCTGGGGAAGCGGCCCGAGTGGCTGCAGTGCTTTACAGAGCAGAACGCACCAACCGCATGTATGTCATACCTGAGCCAAGGATCTCAGGCTGTTAAACAACTGAATCACCATGACGACGTATTACACCCATTTAACAAATGCCCGAGTGGAGGCACAGTAGGTGTAAGGGACCAAGTTGGGCACCTTTAACTCCCAGATCCTGACTCTGGCTTTTACCACTAGCAATAACTCCTGTTTTCCCTACCCCAGACCAGCGAATGGTGCTGGGCTCTCAGCAAAGACATGATTTTCCTTTCATTTTTGTGCAAAAACTCCTGTCTAAGAGGCTCCTAAGTCCCATTTTCAAGAGTGATGAGGTGCTTGGGGCCAGGTTTTTAATGGCATTTAGGTGCCTGAACATGCAGATGGCACTGAGGGAGATTTCCGAAAGCACCCAAGCACCTACCTGCATCTTTCGGCACCTACATCCCTTAGGGATCTGGCGCGTGGGGCATTTACCTACGTCACTTTTGAAAATAGAACTTTGGTGCTTTTGAAAGTGTTACCCCCAGTCTGACGACAGACAAAGGACTCAGCGTGCAGACACCACTTCCCGCGTCCCAGTCTCCATCTGACTCTCAGAATGGCCTCCGGCTGATTGTTTAATTAAATTCCAGACACTAAAATTAGTTGTTTATTTCTCACTGCAATGATTAGTCATTCAATTTCACTCTTGCATTGGAGTTTCACTTTGATGGCCTTTGCCTATTTACCACATGAGTAAGGTTAGTCGGGAGCTTGGCATAGCATTACTGAAAGGTCCTTGATTTAATGGCTTGCATGGCCAAGCAATGCACTGGAGCTACCTTACCCCAACTTACGTGTCTGTGGGAATGGTTTTCATTCTAAAAATCGGGGGCTGTTGCTCTTTAATTCCACACAACATTGGTAAGCTGCACCACAGCTGCCAGACCGACCGGTTCTCTAACTGCGGGGGAAGAAAACTAATTCTCCCTCAGCTAGTGGCATCAAGGATGCCCCTGGCCCGATGCTTTCGCTCAGCCAGAAGGAATGGGCTTGACTCAGGGTTCACTATCCCCATTGCACAAGGAACTGGGTACCTGAGGCACAGATCCACAGAAGTATTTAGGCTCTATTTCAGTGGAAGTTAGGAGCCTCAATACCTTGGTGGGTCTGGGCCATAGAGACTAAGGCCAGGTCCACTCCAAACGTTAAGTTGACCCAGCTATGTTGCTCGGGGGTGTGAAAAATCCACACCCGGAACCATGTAGCTAAGCTGACTTAACCCCCAGTGTAGACAGTGCTAGGTCGATGGAAGAACAGCAGCTAGCTGTTTAAGTGTAGACACAGCCTCAGTGACATGCTCAAGGTCATACAGGTGAGCGTGATAGGGCGGTTTTGGGCGAGGTGCGTCTCGGACACTCCATAAAGCCCACAAGTCATGGGTAGGTCACTGCTGTAACCCAGCTCTGCGGCTGGGTTACACCCTGCCTCTCTAAGGTGTTGCCAAAACACCAGTCCCAGCCTGCAGGCCATTTGATCGCACACCTCACACTCAAGAAGCCAGGAACAAAGTTATTTCTTTGGGGACAAGACACTTTCTGGGCTGCCAGAGCAAAGCCGCCTGGCTGGCAGTTCTACTTACGTCACTCCGGTTGGAGGGTTGGCTGTAGATAACTTGCTTATTAGTGCTGCTAAAAAGAGAAAGAATTAAACTAAGACACTTCACAAGGGCTGATCACTCCTCGGACCCCACCCCAACCACCAGCTGTGCCACTGTGCCCCGCCAGTATTGGACCAGACAGCCAGCAACGATGGGGAAGCAAGTTAGCAGGCAGCTGCTGTTAATCACCAGGCTATGTCAAACTTCTCACAAAAGATACATGGGAGGTGCCTGATTCGCCCCTTCTCTCCCAACCCCCACCAGGCAAGACACAGCCTCCCCCCAGCTCTGGTAGGAGAGATGCTTTACAGACTGGTCTCTTCCTTCCATCCCTATTTCCCCATCCGATATCCAGCACACAGCTAAGAGGCCTCATCCTGATACCCAGCCTGCTTTGGGTGCCAAGTAGATTTTGGGATCTACTCAGTCCCCATGTTAGAACCAGCTTGTAACTTGGTATAATCAGGCCAGGAGCAGAATGGCACAGAAGTGAGGGCTGAGGAGGGTCAGGACTGAGGGGTATTGGCAGAACTGGAAAGGGAGTCCAGGGCCAAATAAGTGGGGGGCTGTGGATCGGGTACATGAGCAGAGCTGTGCAGGGGGGAATTTTCAAGCTCATGACAATGCTATTCGCTCCTGAGATGTTGACTTCTTTTGGGTAAGGGGAAGGAGACTATGCCTGGCATGGTCTGGAGGCAACACACTGCCCTGCTCTGATCCTTCTGCAGCCTTTTGCTCACCAGGCCAGCAAGAGGTGGGGACACAAGACAACACTGCCATCTGGGGAACAGGGGAAGACAGTGCTCCACCCAGATGCCACCTGCTGACCCATTCGGGTGGGGAAAACTGCATTGATGGAGGCTTGGTTCCTGTCTTCAGCTGGAAGATACGGATGGAATAGAGCTAGGACAGGGGAGTGTGGACCTGAGAGGGTAGGAGCGACCCATGGTGGGGACAGCAGAAACATGTGCCCTCGTCCAAGAGAAAAGGTCAAAGTCTCCCCACTGTTCCAGACCCAGAGATCCCACCTGGCGGGGGGGCCAGCAACGTGTCACACAGCAGCTACTCTGGGGCACAGCGGGGTAGGAGGAGGAGCTTGGGGTACACTCTGGCACCTTGCACTCTAACTGCTGCACGGAAGAGATTCCAGGCTGCATTTAAACTGCCACGGAGGAGGTGGCAGAGTCTGGCTAGTCCTGGCTCCCTAGGGGAATACTCTACCCACTCCACAGCGCTAGAAGGATCTCCGCAGGCCAGGAGCACAAGAGGGATGGAAGAGGCTTGGAGGACGGACAAAGAACAAGGCGCACACTTGAACAGAGTGCGAGGTTCCACTTACCCTCTTCTCTCTGGAAGGAAAAAAGAAGAAACGAGACGGTTAAATGTTGGCAGCCGAGCGACACGTCCCATCTCCAAGGGGTGGCATCCTGGCACTGCTACAGCGGGCAGCAACACAGGCTTCCGGGGGGCCACGCTGCTTTTAGAGTGCACTCAATTGGCTGGGCCAAGAGCAGACAGGCCACACGTGCATGGGGATGAGAGACAGATTCACAGAAGGGGGGACCACAGGCCTGACCACGACACAGCCAAGCAAGCTCTGCACCACAGCCTGGGGGACCCCATTTAATCCAGAGAGGCAGCCAGCAGGAACTACAGTTCCCAGCATGCAGTGCTCCATCTTGAGTCAAAGGGGGCTTGATGGAGGGCTGCCCAATAGGGTCAAGAACTCCGCAGGCAGCCCCTCCTCATTGAAAGGCAGCCGAGGTTTGCTGCATCACAGGTAGCCTTCAAGCTCCTGGCAAGCAGGAGACTCTGCCCACTGCGTAGATGCCCCTTCGCAGAGACACCTTGCCATGCAATGGCTCCTCCCAATAGTTTCTTCAGCAGCAGTAGCAGCCAGCGCTCATTAGCCTGCAGCAGTCTGCCCGGCACCCTGCCCGGCGGCGCGTGCCTTAGCTTCTGCAGGGGAATTGATGGGGGCTCAGAGGAACTACCTACGTCATGGGAGTGGCTGAGTGCAAGTGGAAGGGGGCAGGGAGAGGTACGTTCGCAGCCCACGCGGGTAGCTTAATACTTACTGCTGAAAAAGCCACGTCTGTAGGCGAACCAGATGCCGAAGGCAACCAGAGCCAGCACGATTAGCAGCACGACCACAGCTGCCACAATACCGCCCACGTTGACTTCAGCTGGGTGAGAGAAAGACGTCAGTGCGGCATGCAGAGACCTTATGTGGACAGATCCCCCTGCATGCCACAGGATCCCAAATGCTTTCGCATCTGGAACTGCCCCCGTGGGAGAGTGACACCAGCAAAGGATTTAACCTGTCTAGTTGCAGTCCCCAGGGGGGACTGGGCCCCACCTTCCTTCAAGGTGGAATCACCCTGTCTCAGGTACCTTTAATGGTTTAAGCAGCTAGAGGTGAGAAGCCTGCCCCGGGGAGCCCGCCAGCTTCCCAGCCAGCACTGTGCGGGGCACAGATTGAGAAGCTCTGGGCTAGTTATCTCAAGTGGGGGTTCTGTAATTATAACCCTGCTGCTGTCCCACTCACAGGTCTGAGCCAGGCCCCCTTCACACTACGACAGCTCCCAGCCTGCTCCACCTCCATTTCTTCTTCCCTAGCTGTCACCAGCCCCTCGCCACACAGCTGGGTTCAGAGCTAGCTGCTTCCACCTATCTGCAAGTGGCAGCAGGAAGAGCAGAGTTTGAGAACGGCAATATTCCCCGGCCAGCCTAGCCTGGGACGAGCCTGCGAGCACGTCTGCTGCTTTGCTATGTGGTTCCAGTGAGCTCAGCCCTGCCCTGATACAAAGTCTTCAGGCATTCAGAGGGGAACTGGCTGTGGCCTGGGAAGGCAGCACCAGCATGGACCTGGCACCCGAAGATCTGCAGTCTTCTGAGCGCCACTGTATGGGCCTAATGTTACAAAGGGCTAAAACCAGACCAAAAGGTGGAAAACAGGATGGTTTGGGCAGCTCCAGGGAACAGGGGCTGACGGCACGGTAGCTTTTCAGAGGAGGGGACAGTTGGAATGCTTGTCACCAGAGCTGGGCCCAGCAAACACCCATCCCCAACCTCAGTCACTCCCAATCCCAGGGTGCACTAGGCTAGGGCGGGAGCCTCCTCTGGGTCTGTCTCTATGGCGGCCCAGCTCCAGAGGTCATGTAGGAGGTGGGACACGCCAAGAACCACTTGTCAGCTCTCAGGAGACTCCGTTCTCTGCGAAGGGTGCTCTTTTAGCAGGGCAGCCCAATGGGCTTCTGGTTCCAGGCTCTCCCCCACCCCCTCCAGCGGAGCACATGCCTCTTTTCCCATCAAGACACTTGGGCACTGTCCAACCTTTAATCTACCACAGCCAGTACAGGAAGTAGCTGCAGGAGGCCGGGAAGGGGCAGTGACAGTACTGGCTATTGTAAGCTTGCAAGTGACTTCCAAAGAGCCCAGTGTGGACGTCCGCACACACCCACCCACCGGCTCTGCAAGCCCCCATTTCCTTACTGGCTTCCAAGTGGATGGCTTCAGATTTCTGAGCGGTCCCGACGTTGTTCTGAGCCTCGCAAAAATAATCCCCCGTGTCAACGCTGGTTACGGGCTCAATCGTCTGGAGTGGGAAAGAAGGCGTGAGGGAGGCATGGACAGAGGCGTAAACTCCCCATGAGTCAGGCAGCCCCCTCCCCCGTGCGTACCAGCACTCCAGTCTTGGTGTCAATCGTGTAGGAGGAGTTCCTGAATTTCTCATTGATCTTGGGGTTGGAGGGCATCAGGATGTTGTCCCTGTACCATTGGAAGGTAGGAGGTGGAGACCCATCTGTTTCCACACATTTCAGCACAGCTTTGTTTCCGATTGTCACCGAGGTGGGCCCTTTGGCAACGGGCTTGGAGGGAGGCACTGCCAGCGGAGAAGGCAAAGAGGCACATGTTACAGATGACCTTACAGAGCTTTGAACCCACCACTATGACCCCCCCGTCCTAAACACACCCAAGACGCGGTCACTCGCATTTGTTAAATTGCGCTTATTAACCCATGACCGACTGGATTAGACTAGAGGACCTGCTCAGTGACACGAAGGCAAACAAATGGCCAGATCATTTTAAGTGAAGTAAACAGAAAGCAGAATCCATGTCTAGCTTGATTGGCTCATGAGCCAACGGACTAAGTCAGTGGCTGGGCCCTCTTCCATTGGCAGGGCTTTCTTGGCACTGCTCCAGGGTTGATCAGTGAAGTTCCAGAGCTCAGGCCAGTGTAACTGTCATTCCCCGATAATGCACCTTTAATTGAGATGGGGAAGGAGTGAAAAGTGGTTCCTTCCTGACCCATGCAGAGATCCTGTGCTGCCCTGAAGCTTGATTATACTTTCATAGAATATCAGGGCTGGAAGGGACATCAGGAGGTCATCTAGTCCAACCCCCTGCTCAAAGCAGGACCAATCCCCAATTTTTGCCCTAGATCCCTAAATGGCCCCCTCAAGGATTGAACTCACAACCCTGGGTTTAGCAGGCCAATGCTCAAACCCCTGAACTATCCCTCCCCCCCCATTTGGCCATACTAAAATGCATGTTTGTTTGTGTCCAGTTTACCAGAGATTACTCAGGATCTGTGCCCCGTCTTCAATTTTATCACTTCACCCATTCAATTCTGTGTCATCTGCTGACTGTATCAGCAGTGATTTACTTTCTTTGAGAACTGATAATAATGGTTGTATTGAACTTTTGAGGAAGTTTTTATCTTGTAGTGATAGATCTACAGGAGCAATCTAAACATCCCCATTTGATTGACTTCTACATTTAGTTCGGTAATTGTAGAATTGTAATACTCATGGTAATTGTAATACTCATGTCAGCATAGCTACAGATAGTAGCGGACTTTGCTTTAAAAACCAGCCACACTATTGTCTTCATCTCCTGGACACATTCCACAGAGAGCAGCATTTCCTTGCGTGGATTCTGAACTAGCTGCACTTTAATTCAATAGAGGATTAATGGCACTCGCTGAGCTGGAGCTTCCATTGCCCAGCTCCCTGGGCAGTCATTTACGGCACTGCAGAATGGGTGTGGAATGCAACTAAATCAGAGCAGCTCACTGTGTTCTGGTGCAAACGACCGTACGAGGAGCAGGGAGATGGAGAATCGGGTGCACAGCGTTCAACGTAAGTGGCAAATGCATGTGGCGAGAAGGGTCACTGACCAGAAATTAACGCTTTGCCGAGGAGCCCCACTGCTGGCAGGAGCCCCCCCGCTGACAGGTGAAAGGTGCGATGCTGGCTGTGTGGGCGAAGCCAGTGTCCATCCCACTTTGATGGAGCAACTTGTCAAAACAAAATGTTTGACCAAAACTGCTGCGATCCTGAAGGAAGGAAACAGAGTTTGCTCCAAAACTGGGCTCCCATTCGGTGATGATTTTGCAGCACTGGTGAAAGGTGCTAGACTGACAGCATTTGTGAGTGAGGCGCTGGGTACGGCCACAGAGCAGGCATGGTAAATGTAGTGCAATCTCCCCCGCCTAATCTTTTGCCAGGTGCCTCAGCCCAGTCATGAAGGGACCATTTCCGGGGTGAGGACTGGTCAGTCTCCATTGGTCTCTGCAGACAATACACCCAAGGTTCAGACTGGTGCTGACAGGGAGTCTTCAAGGTGTGAAGAAGTGCACTGAGAGCACATATGTATGAAGGGGATCTCTGCTTAAAAGCCATTAGTATGGAATGCAACATAAGCACGGACCCGCCCATGTCAGCAGGGGGAACAGTTACAGTGTCAGACTTCCTGAGTGCGTGTTACAGAAATAATGGTGCCCTCGTGTAGCTAGGATTGTTTCTTCATGGCCACCTAATGGACTATGCATTGACCCGTGGGAGACATTCCTCGACAACCAGTTGTGTTTAACAGTTCTGAAGATGCAGAGCCAACAGAACCGGAGTCTTTTGAAACCATTGGATAATCCGGGCATTAGGCTTTCCCCAGGGCACCTCTTCAAACCTGGCTAGCCTGATTTGATTACAGGATACTTGCCACTGCCCAAAGCAGCCTTATTTCATGTCTGTATTCCAGCAGGACTGACGCTGCTCTCAGGAAGGCCCTAGAGCTCCAATAGCGTGCCGCTCTGGCCCTGCAGGTCCATGGTCAACGGACATGGGTGAGAATTTCAGATAGTCAGGTTCAGACAATTGAGGCTTCCCTAGAGTCTAAGTCCAATGTGGAAAGTGTCTTGTTTCAGTGACCTCAAGCTAGTTTGCTATCCACTGACGATGCCACGTTGTGCAGAGAGCAACTCTGTTCAAATGAGCCATTGGGCTCAATGGCATCTCTTAGCAGGGAAAAATAACCTCAAGGCAGAAGTCACTGGCAAGGTTCCCCAGTCTGTACCACGCAGGTTAGAAGTTCATAATGCTCCCTTCTGATCTTAAACTCCATGAAAACACACTCGTTGCCCACAGGCCCCAAGGGCCCCCCCTCACCGAGACTAGAAGCCATGGCAACCCGTCCCAAGTGGTAATTACAGGAAGGCATTAGTACCTTGGACAATGAGGTCAACTTCTGACTTGCTCAGTTCACCACTGCCACCGCTCCCGGTCGAGAGGACCTCGCAGATATACTTCCCTGTGTCCTTCCGAGTCACCGAAGTGAAACGAATGCCTGTGGGTGTGTACTGAGCACGGCCTTTGTAGGGGTCTGCAGAGAAAGGGGAGACAGCAAGAGCCTGAGAGCGCTTGGAAGTGGAGGAATACAGATGAGAGCCAGAACAGGCTGCTGGTGTGGAGAAGCAGAGAGCCCCAAAAACCAGCCTCAGAGCAGAGAGAAGGGTAAGGAGAAGAGCTGATTAAATGGGGTTCAGTTCAGTTCAAATACAACAAGAGGTCTCCCCATTGCAGGAGGAAGCTACAAGCCCCTATGTCCAATAGCTAAGCCAGCCCAATCACAGCTGGCCGGGGATAGAGGGGTTTGTTGCAGGGTTTAAGGGATGGGTTCTGTTATGCTATGCTGCTGGCAGATATGAACTAGTTAGTTAGTGAGGAGGTTATTCCACCCCGTTTCTTTCCTCATAGTTCTTCCCACGAGTGCTCAGTGCTTTTAAGAAATTAGTTAGCAGTGGTAAAGCCGATTCCAGGCAGAGCAATCTAGAACGCGGTGTGAGGTTACACCAGTCACATTAAAAGACTGTTCTCAAACTGTTCAGCTGACATGGCTGAGCAACGAAGGGGTCTACAGAAGGTGATGAAGCCATCACTAGGACAGAGGATGGTTCTCACCTGTCTTCGTAACACCTTAGCACATGTGTACAGCATAGCTCAGCCATGGTACCATCAGTGCATGCTGGGATTCCTGAAACACCTACCCCATTGGGTCCAGCTTTGTTACTAGGAAAAGGAGCTTCTGGCTAATTTCCAGATGTGAAGCACTGCACTGCGGGAAAGAGTAGCTGAATCGGGGTAACTGCTGCCAATCCCTGTGGCTTCCTGCCCATATTGGGAAGTTACAGACTGAACTGGTTCAGAAGGACCCAAGCTAAAGACCTCACTTTGGATCAGGGCGGATAAAAATCAATGATTAAAAAAAGTGTAATTTAAATTGGATTTTAAATTGGATAAACCTATTTAAAAATTAAATTTGAAATTACTACAACCAGTATTAAGGCCAAAAACTTACTACTGTCTATCATTTAAATTAATTTTTTTTAAAAAAAAATGAACAGTATGTTCACTGATGAAGTTTTATAGAAAATCAGATCACTCAACTGGTGGAAGTCACGGGCTAAAGTCTTGAAACCAGAGTTCACTGACTTGCAGAACCAGCAGTAGCCTCTTCTGCACGTGCAGAGAGAATATTTTTTTCCTATTTCCATTTATTAACCGATTCATCTGAATGATTAGTTCATTCATTAAACTGACTGGGAGCTGAAAAAGCAGAAAAACTTTTCTTCTTCTTCCAGTCTATGAATAAAAGGCAGGTGTGAGGGAATGAGATTACTAGCTCTAAAAATCTTGCCGTGGTCACCAGAAACAAATCAGTTCAATTCACTAAACTAGAGATAATACTTTAGCATTTAAAACTGATTTGTAAAACAAATGTTAAACTTTTCTCATTTATTCAGTGCATGTAAGATAGTTTCATTTAGTGGGGGAGGTTTAGGTTGGATATTAGGAAACACTATTTCACTAGGAGGGTGGTGAAGCACTGGAATGGGTTACCTAGGGAGGTGGTAAAATCTCCTTCCTTAGAAGTTTTTACAGTCAGGCTTGACAAAGCCCTGGCTGGGATGATTTAGTTGGGATTGGTCCTGCTTTGAGCAGGGGGTTGGACTAGATGACCTCCTGACATCCCTTCCAACCCTGATAGTCTATGATTCTATGAACTGCTTAAAAAATGTTTAAATGCTGATTGTGCCTTATTTGAATTCCGATCTCCATCCAAACAGCTTGACACAAACCCCACACACACAAAAAAAAGGTAATCAAGTAAATAAGAAATGCCTAATTTCCCATTTTCAAACAAAAAAATGTATGTTAAGCTATATAATTGCTTAACAAAATGTGGATCCACCTGCTTAGCAAAGAGCACCAGCAAACTTAGGGTAAAGCTATATTTAGTTGCAAATGAACATATTTTAATGAATACCAATTACTAAAAATCAACGCTTCTTTAGGAAAATAACCATGGGGTGGAGGCAGCCTCCTGATTCAATAGGTGAACTATACTAAGCTACTGGGGGGGCACCGACCACCTGCAGCAGCACTCCTTGACCCAGCACTGAAACCTTAATCCCGGCCCTGGTGTGGTGAAGCAGGCTGGAGAGTGAGTCTGCCCCACACTCATCCCTACAGCTAGGGTTGTCAACTTTCGCAGAAAACCGAACATCCTTGCCCCACCCCTTCTCCAAGGCCCCACCCCTGCTCACTCCATCCCCCTCCCTCCCTCATTTTCACTGGGCTGGGGCAGGGGGTTGGAGTGCAGGAGGGGGTGCGAATGGGGAGGAGGGATTTGGGGTACTTGAGGGGGCTCTGGGATGGGGCCAAGGGGTGGGGTGAGGGCTCTGGCTGGGGGGTGCAGGCTCTGGGATGGGGCCAGGGATGAGGGGTCCACAGGTTGCGAGAGGGGGCTCAGACTGGGGCATGGGGGGCAGGGGATGAGGAAGAGTGTGCAGGCTCTGGGCGGCGCTTACCTCAGGCAGCTCCCGGGAAGTGGCAACAACATGTCCCTCGAGCTTGGGGGTGGCCAGGTGGCTCTGTGAGCTGCCCCCGCCAGCAGACACCGCCCCTGCCGAAGCCAGCATTTGTGGTGGGGACAGTGCATGGAGCCCCCTTGGCCAGCCCCGAGCCAGAGGGACATACCAGCCACTTCCCAGGAGCTGTGCCATGGAGCCTGCTAGCCCCAATGCATTGACAACTGGACTTTTAACGGCCCGGTCGGCACCGCCAGGGTCCCTTTTCCATTGGGTGTTCTCGTCGAAAACCAGACACTTGGAAACCCTAACTACAGCGGTGGCTCTTGTCTCACAAGGCTGGGCCTGGCTTCCTACACCAGACATTGTGACCTGGTGCATGGAGTTGCTGATGTTCCAGGATGGGTGCAGGGCAGGCTCCACCCACTGGGGCCTGCCATTCACATACGGCTGGGAAACAATGTATTTCTGTTTTTGCACCCTTTGTTTCATGACATCTGTGGGTGCAAGTGAAGCCATCCACCCTGCTAAAGCCACCATTGAAAATAACTAAAAAGTACAAATGCAAAACAGGATAAAAATCGATCATTTAAAGCACTCTGATTTAAAATAATCCACCCTGCCTCAGATACTGCAACAGCTGGTATAACCTGTGCTTATCCAACACCTGGACCAGAAACCGTAAAGGGGCCCTCAGACACTCCGTACAATGGACTCACGTACCTGTGAATTTGGAATCATAATAGAAGAGCACTATTGAAGAGCCCTTTTCAAACTTCCACTCGACCCTGGGTGTTCCGCTTTTCGACATGTACGCAGCACAGGGTATTTCAATTGCTGGAAAGACACAGCAATAAGTCAGCATTGGCACTGCATCCCAAACGTAGTAAGATCCTATCTGTAAACACCTGGCAGAGCTAAGCCAACAACATTTGTTTTAAAAGGGACTGGGAGCCAGATTTTCATTTATACCCAGGACCAATTACCACGTAGCGTGAAGGGATCATCCTTCCTGAATCCCAAGAGTTGGAAAAAATGCCTAACAGTGAGAGGCTTAAAGACCTGTTTAGTTCATTGAAAAGAAGATTGCAAGATCACATGATTATGGCATATATGTATGCTCTCAGGGAAAAAAATACCAGGTATTAAAGGGCTCTTGGGCACAGAAAGGCAGAAGAAGATCCAATGGCTGGAAAAAGTCAGATCTGTTCACAATATTGTATTGTTTTTAAAAGAGTGATTAACCATTGGAACCATCCAGGGAAGTGATGGATTCCTCAACTCTTGATGCCTTCAAATCCGTCCCGGCTGCCTTGCTGGAAGAGATGCTTTAACCAAACAAGTAACTGGGCTCAATATAGGGGTAAGTGGGTGAAATTCTCTGGCCTGTCAGATGCAGGAGGTCAGAATAGATGATCTAATGGTCCCTTCTGGCCTTAAAAAAAAAAAAAAAAATCTACCATTTCCTGAGGGCCACCATGTTAACGTCACATGGGTCTGAAAATGCAGCCTACTGCCGACATGCAATACTAAAATCACTGGAACAAAAACATTAACAAGCTTTTTCGTTCACTTCGTGCATTTGGCAGCACTTTGGGTATAGTCCGTTTCAATGCTGCCTTTTGTGGTCAGTTTATGTGGGTCTTTCCATCAGCAAAAGGGCAGAAATTCAGTTAGGAAAACTTAAAACAGGAAATTGATTGTGAAGCTGCAGAAACTAACAGGGACAAGTATTGTATCTGAAACTACTGGGAACTCATTGAGATTTACTAGATTACAAATCAGTGTTCTTGTAAGTGTGAATCCAATATTAATAAATTAGAAAACTGACATCATATTGGCAGCCCGAAGCAGAGTGGAGCTAAGTTCCGCTCCTTCTTGAATGCCTGGGAAATTAGAGATGGAGTTGTCACTGGCAACTGACATTAACAAAAAACCCTAGGGGTAACATTTTCAAAACATGCCTGAATGATTTAGGAGTCACTTTTAAGTCACTTAGGGCCAGTTTTTCCAAAGGTATTTAGGTACCTAAAGATGCAGGGATGCACCTTTTGGGATTTGTAAAAGTGAAACCAATGGGAGTTACATTTCTAGCCCACCTAGGTGCTTTTGAACACCCACTAGGCACCTATCTACATCAATAAGCACCTAAATATATTTGAGAATCTGGCCGCTTAGGCACTTCGTTTGAAAGTTTTACCCTAGATTTAGCAGTTCAACTTGCCAGAGGCCATTCCAGATTCTGTACTAATGCATCCGATGAAGTGAGCTGTAGCTCACAAAAGCTTATGCTCAAATAAATTTGTTAGTCTCTAAGGTGCCACACGTCCTCCTTTTCTTTTTGTACTAATTCAGTCATCTTGTTTGCGCTCAGGCATCATCTCCACCCTGAAACTCACCAATATGCTCCGATACAACAGCTATTGAGCCCCAAACGTTCATCTACATTTCGTCTGAGACATGGACACTGGAATCTCTAGAGCAAGGAGTACTTGAATTTCAAAGATTCAGTACTCACCAAAACTACTGTAGTATTGCTTTGAGTGCAGAGAGACTCCGCGTGTCTTTACCGCTGGAGAAAACAGTTTCTTACCCTACAGCGGCCGTGCATGTTTGAGATGTCATCAGTGTGGGTCCCACAGAAGGTGCACGTGTCTCATATGCATGAGTTCAGATATTTTGAACAGCAGTATCTGTTCAGGGCTCTAGCAGACAGAGAGCCTGGAGCACTCAGCCTGGTGCAAGATCTGTGTCCTGAACCAGAGGCTGTGAGCCAAAATCAGGCCGTGTATTAAAGCAGATACTTACAAGTTCACTATTCAGTGCATGAACTTGTCAAAGTTGTTGCTAGTGTACTAGGCACAAGATATTTACGTAAATATATTCCAGCTACTACAGATAAACCATCTGATCTTGTACTAGATTGGGGGGTGACAGAATACTGAATAGGGATGTTTTTTCCAAGATATCAGGAACAACGGGAGGTAAAAAGCAGATGTCATGGAACACGTAAGGTGGTACGTAAGTTATTTATCTCAGCCTACAAGTGTCGGGGTAACTCGGGGTAACCCTTTGTGTGACCTCGGGGACAGCAGAGACTCCTGCTACTGACTGGGCACTCATGTTAGTGTACCTGCAAGCACAGAGCCAGGGCGCTAGGACTGCCCTGAGGACAATACACCTGGCCGAGTGCCTTTGTCACCGCACCATGGTCATGCTTTACGAGTAACAGAGGCCTGCTGAATGAGCAGGCTGCCTTAGTTGCTGTTAGTACTGATAACACTGAAGCTCCAAGGACAGAAGCACTGAGCTGCAGCCTGAATGTTCCGAAGGGAACGACATTTCAGCCTCCAACATCATTTAACAAGGGCCACGCACGTCCTTCGGCTCCCTCACAACTCAAAGCCCGCATGAGCGGATGACTCCAAAACTGGTGGTGGAAGGTGGCTTGTGGGATCCATCCTGACTGCAACATCTTGAAGAACCACAGTTATTGCAGGGTAGGAACCAGTCTGTTTTCTGAAAGTATCAGTGTCGATTCCACTGTAGGTGGCTGGCCATCAGTGTCCCCTCTGGACAGCGGGAACGAAGAGAGCCAACTGCATCAGTTGAATAGGGATTGTAATACTGCTCTCCCAAACTTTACATCTGCCCTGGCAGCTAAGTCCAGTGCGTAAAAGCTAATGGTCTGTATAAGGATCTCCTGGACTTGTCTCAGCAGTCCATCTGTGTCATTCACCCAAACAACATCTGGGCAGTCAGGTACAGAGACTTCAGGTCTGGATAGAGTATCTGGCCAGGATGCTGGGAGATCAGGTCTGGACAGGATTGGTGGCTGAATGGACACTGGCAGAAGATCCATTGGCCAAAACTGCCTGGGCCAGCTGGGAGCTCCAGGAACGACTGGGGCTTGGTCTCTTGATTTTGGAAATCATGCTGGGACCAGGGGAATTGGAGGAAAGGCAAACAGGATACCTGGACTCCATTGCAGAAGGACAGTGTTGGGAAATAATGCCAGACTCCTGCCCCCTTTGGAACAGAAATGCTGACTCTGTGTTTTCCTGGGTGGCAAACAGGCCTACCACAGGAGCTCCCCAGTAGTGGGATCTTGGCTCTATCATGCATCTCTCCAGGGACCACTCCCGACTAGCCATGGATTTTCTGCTCAGCAAGTCCACCAGGTCGTTGCCAACTCCTGGGAGATAGAGAGCTATTGGGGTTATCCGGTGTCAGCAGCACCGCGTCCAGAGCTTGAAGGCATCCCAATAGGGGAGACACATGTGCACCTCTTTGCTTGTTGATGTAGTGTGTCGCAAGTGTTGTCAGTCAGGATGTGCACTGTGGAGTTCGAGAGAGCAGGTAGGAAGGTGGCGTGCAGGGTAGCCTGATGGCCCTGAGCTCCAGGGCACTGATGTGGAGCCCTGCGTTTCCTGGGTAACAAGTTCCTTGCATCTGTAGATGATATAGGTAGGCTTCCAAACATGTTTCTGATACATCTGTGATTAAAGTCCTTACTGGGGCAGAGCAGAGCACTGGGGTTCCTACCATTTCTCAGTTCTGTTATGTCTTGTGGCGGAACCACAACCTTCTTGTTTTATTGGGGAAAAAGACCAACTTGAGCAGGAGCTGGAGTAGCCGCAGGTGAAACCTGGCAAGCGGTGTTATGTATGTGTACATCAGCCTATGGCCCCACAGCCCCAGACACATCTGCACTGTCAGCCTGGTTTGATTTGATCCCAGGACTATACCTGTCTCCAGGAAGGCTCGCTCTGACCGATCCAGAGTCAGTCAAGGCTCCTGGGAACTCTATTGCCTGTGGTGGGATAAGAGATTTTTTCCCTCGCTCAGCTGGGCCCCCTGGTGAGCTAAAATAGGGATAGTGTGTAGTCCAGGCTTTCCGCCATTTCCTCCTGGGATTTGCCCACCGATCATCCAGCTGTCAAGGTGAGGGTAAACGTGAATGGGCTGTTGCTACCGCGAGGCACTTTGTGAAGACTCAGTGCCATGGAGAGTCCAAAAGGCAGAATGTTGCACTGATAACAATGGGGCCCCACTGAGTCCTAGGTGCTTCCTGTGAGCCGGATGGATGGCTATGTCGAAGTACGTGTCTTGTCAGCAGAGTGCCACAAACCAGCCTTGAGACTGAAGAGATGGGATGATGAAGGCAAGCGTTACCATCCTGAATTGGGCTTATATGTGTCCAATCTTCTCAGGTCTAGGATGAAGCTTGGATAGGACAAAAACTCCTTTCTTCTTCAGAATAAGGTATATAAACTGTAGTACAATCCTCTTCCCCAGTACATCTCTTCTATGGCTTGAAGCAACTAGTACACTTCTGTCTGTAATAGGTTCTCATGACAAGGATCTCTGAAGGAGGATGGGGCAGGCGGTAATGTGTGGAAATGGATTGGAGAGCCATGGGCAATTTCTAGCACCCATTTGTTGGCTCTCATGGCTGCCCAGGCCCAGTGGAAAGGGGCAAGGCGGTTCCTGAAGGTGGATGCAGGCTCCACGCTGACTCCAATGCAACTCCCAATGCTCCTGTCAAATCTGCTGCCTCAGAGGGAGTCTGGTGCACTGAGGTGATGGAAGATGGGGGCCCCCAGGAGTATCTGGGATTCTTTCTGTGTGTGTACTCTGGCTGTCGAGCCCACTAGTAGGATGGTGACCTGTCTCTCCGCTTGGGCTGCTACTTGTAAGGGTTCCTTTAGGTGTGTAAATCCCTAAGAACCACAGAGCTTTCCTTGAGGGACTGGAATACTTTGTTTTCTGGTTGAAGAGCTCCATCCCATTAAAGGGCAGGCCCTTTATCATGGCCTGTACCCACGAGGCCCATCTCGTAGTGATGACAGTGGCCATCTGAGATGCATTCTTGGCTGCCTGTAGGAATGCTCTCATTACCATCTGGCCTTTCAACTTGTCCTTGTTATCTTGAGGGATCTTGGATAGGAAGGGAGTGACCCTCTCCCAAATGAGAAAGGTGTATTTGGTGAACAGGGCCTGGGTAATTTGCCAGCTGGAGGGAGGCTGATGAGTATGCCTTGTGTCCATGGAGATCCAACTTTTGGGGTCTTTGTCATTAGGCATGCCTTTTGTGGACTGTGATTTCTCCTGTTCCTGACGCAACAGCCAGGAACTCTGCATTTGGATGGACATGTGTGTGTTCAAAGCCCTTTGGGGGCACTGGTATCTGTTCTCCACCTTTGTCAAAGAGGGAGGAAAAGTGCCCAGCATTTGCCACAGTCCTTTAGCCGGTTCCAGAAGCCCCTTGTTAATAGGAAGGGTGATTCTGGCCAGCATCATGGTGTTCAAAATAAAGACTTCTCTTGTATAAATGTAGTCTTGGTATCCAAGGTCTCTGCAATGCAGGAAAGGAGGTCTTGAAAAGCTTTAAACTCAATTGCTGGGACTGGGGCTGGTGTCACTGCCTTGTCCTTGAGTGGAGACGGGTGTCGTTGTGATCCCTCCCTTGCTTCCTGCTCTTGTGGGCCCATGTTTGGTTCTGATGTGGGTGGCTTGGTTAATGATGCCACTGGGGAACAGGATTGCTTCCTTTCTGGAAACATGGGAGAGGGATCTTGCTCCCAGACACAAGAGCTGATGGTCCCCAGTAAAGATAAGTTTCAGAGAACAGCCGTGTTAGTCTGTATTCGCAAAAAGAAAAGGAGTACTTGTGGCACCTTAGAGACTAACCAATTTATTTGAGCATGAGCTTTCGTGAGCTACAGCTCACTTCATCAGGTGACTTCATATGGGTACTAGGCTCCCCAGCAACCTCCTTGGGATCTGACATTGTCTGATTAAAATAGGACCATGCAAACCATTGTTGTTACCACTGTTATATAATTGCAGCAAATCTTATACAAAGTATGACATATGGCCAGAAAGGGTTAAGCAGCTTGCAGGCTATATAACCCAAAGCCAACCTTTAGGGACATGTTAGAAGATTTGAATGGTAATTAGGGCCATTCCATGGTAGATAGGCTAGAACTTTGAAAGTGCAAACCTATGTTGTTAGAAATTAAAGGCGATACAAATTGTATGTTTACTTGTATCTTGTTTAATGTTAGTCATGTAAACAGTCAGTTCCTGTCTGTCACTACAGCTGTTGATTCAGAGATCAAAAGGGAATATTAACATTTAGATGGGTCTTGGGTGAAATAATGTCACTGGCTATATGTCACTTTAAAGTTTGTGATAGACTGCCTAACGGATAAACTGCCTTATGTAAAACCGTGTAGCTAATTAGAATCATAGAATATCAGGGTTGGAAGGGACCTCAGGAGGTCATCTAGTCCAACCCCCTGCTCAAAGCAGGACCAACACTTAGGACATAGGTCCACTTCAAAGTATCCGTGATTGCCTATTGTTCACCTAAGGACTCCTAACTGCAAAAAGATGCCTTGGGTCCCAATCCTTTTTATCTCAGATCTGATTGATGCTTCATGCAGAGGAAGCTTAAACCCAAGATTGAGATCCTAGTCCTGACTGGACCACCCTGAATGTAAACATTGGACTATAACCTGTGCACAAATTCTGAAAACTCTTGGGAGGTAGGTGTCAGAGTAGCAGCCGTGTTAGTTTGTATCCGCAAAAAGAAAAGGAGGACTTGTGGCACCTTAGAGACTAACAAATTTATTTGAACATAAGCTTTCAGTAGAAATTTATATGATGAATAAGATTTTCAGTAATCCTCATTATATTTGACTTGCATGTCTGGGTGGAGGCCTAAGGCTGGGTTGCTTTACGGGAACTGTGTTGTTGGCTTCTGGGTAACCAGTGAGGTGTTATAGAAGCTGTTTTGTGCTAGTTTGGTAAATGTAGGTATTGGAATATCCACCAGCTTTGGGGCTGTCTGCCCCATTCTCTGGGGTTCACCCTAATTGAGTGACCTCAGGTGGCCCCCCTGCGACTCCGGTTACAGGTTCTCTCTCCTAAGGAAGAGGGGGCTCTTTACTCAATTTGAGCAAGGAGGAGTACATGGTTTAGGTGAGGAGGAGTATCTCTTCCAACAGCAGTGTCATCAGGCAATGTGCCATTGGGGCCGCACAGGGAACATGTCTGGAGGGGATCCAGATTACCCCAGAGCAGAGAACTGTGCCAAGATTGGTGCTGGGTCCCTCATAGCCTGTGTCAAGGATTCAGATGCTCTGGCCTTTGAATAGAGGTTTTGTTTCCTCCTTCTGGGACCTTCCTTCAAGTTTGGTGCTATATATGGGCTCTGTCCAGTCCCACGAGTGCGTCTCATCTTTATGTACGGGCACGCATGCCAGCTTTACTGCCTGGGAGGCCAGCGCCAGAGTGACCGATGCGGACACCAGGGTTGTCCTTGCCAAGAGTGTCAGTACCGCGGCTTTCAGTGCAGAGGCCTTTGCCAATATGGAAGTGATTGGCATCGTAGTCACTTGCGCCAGCTCTGCCAATATTCTCTTTGCTTTCTTCTCAGCGCTCGATCCTGGAGCATGCCCTATGCTCAAGAGAGCGCTGGCCGATAACTGCTTAACTAGCCTCACAGTGGTAGTGGCCATCACTTGTGTCTTAAGTGACACATGTGAACTGCTCCAGCATATGCAGCCTGAGCAGAATGACCCTGGATGAAAAGGACTTGACCACAGAGCACCCATCCAGGAGGTGGCTTTCCCACAGGAAGAAGCTGCCTTGACTGTGTCCATCCTTGATAGGCAGATTTTGAAGTCTGCCATGAGATGTGGCAGGGGGAGGGGTTCCTCAGTAACTTTTTTTTTTTTTAAATATCCACATGAAAGGAGCGTGAAGATGAAGATTTTTTTTTACAAATTTGATTAAAAAGTAACCGTGTTCACAGTTAGGACAGACACTCGCTCAGTCCTGTCTTGCTGCCATGGGCATCAAAGGGAAGTGAGGGAGGATTGCGTCTGCTCTGCCTTTTATGCCCTCAAACAGGAGCACGAAGGGGCCAGGAAAGAGCGGGGAGAAGATAAGCGGTTCCAACAAGCACAGCTATTCAAAAGAAACCAAACTCATGCCAACGAGATGCACATGCAGCTGCAGTGGAATCCACATGGACACCAAGCTGAAGAACTGACCTTACAGCATCTCAGGAACAAGTGGTCATGACTAGATCACGTTCAATACGTGCAAACAGAATCACATCTAAACCAGTTTTTATATATATTAGCTGGTGCTTTACAAGGGCCCGTTTCACAAAGCTGAAAACAACTGAACTAAACCAGCTGGCAGGAACCAATCCAGGGATAATCTTTGCAGTTTGTGAGCTAAGAGCTATCAGTGCTCCTAAAGATCACTGCACTGACTTTTGCTCGAAGGAAGTAAGGCCACAGTAGCAGTTTGAGAGCTTGAGCATAGACACGACAGCGACAGGAGGGATTCTCGTGTCACTGTAGTTAACCCAACTTCCCAAAAGGCAGTAGCTAGGTCAACAGAATAATTCTTCATTCACCTAGTGCTGTCTACACCGGGGCTTAGGCTGGCATAGCTATCTCTCAGGGGGGTGGATTTTTCATACCTCTCAGAGATGTTGCTCTGCCAATGTAAGTTTTCAGTGTAGACGAGCCCTGAGAGATCATTCCCCAGCTGGGAAAGGCCAGTGGGTGGAACTACACCTTGACTGCACAGGGCAGCAATCAACATAACTTCTCCATCACTGGCAATTTTTAAATCAATCGTTTTTTCAGAAGATCTGCTCTAGTTCAAACAGCAATTAATTCAGGGAAGACCTATGGCCTGTGTTACCAAGGGAGTCTGACTAGATCACAGTGGCCCTTCCGGCCTTTGAATCTATTAATTTAGAACTCCACACTTACGGTCGTTCTCAGGCACTTGAATGGTTTTTTTGTCCATCACCTGGGCAGATATCAAGGACCCTATGGGAAGGAGAAAAAATACGATTAGGACAGATGTTTGTTTACAAACCACAGAACCCAAGTGATCCCAGAGCCAGCAGAACAGCTGCCAAGCTCAACCCCACAGAGATTCAGCTCTCTTATGAAGGATCAACACCTTAAGAACATTCTTTTCTACCTCATTTTCTTGGAGAACTCTTAGTCTTATAGTAGTTGCCAAGGGGTTTTTAGTCAGACTGCTTCAAGCTTTGCTTCTGGTTGGTGTTTGTTAAGACAAAGTTAAATGTTTGTATTCGGTAAGGCCTTACAGCCCTGAACAAGGATCAGGGCCCCACTAGGCTAGACACTGCATGTGTACAGAAGACAGTCCCTGCCCCAAAGCGCTTACAATCTGAAGACAAGACAGATACAAATTTCTTCCCCACTTCCTCTTTAAACAATTGCGCGTACCCCACCCACCCCCTGCCGATTGCCTCCCCAGTCTCAGCAGCACTCCTCCTCCCCACACAAAACCACTCAGCTTATCTCTGATCCACCAAGAAAGAGCCAAAACTGACTGAAGTGTGCACAGGCTGGTTCCTCTTCCCCAGGGAGGGAGAGGCAAGTTCCCAAAGGGTGGGGCAGGCGAACCACACAGCCCAAAGGCATCTATGACTAATATTTTGGACAAAGGAAGCCTCTGTTAAAAAGTTCCACACTCACTCCTGCAGTTAATGCAAAGCTCACAGCAAACACCTGAGACCTCCTAGAAGGCCTGCAGCAAAACCAGGGGAGTCCTGACTTGACATCCCTGATGTTAAGGTAAAAGCACAAAGCAGGGTTTTTTGGGTGGGAAAAAGGTCTTTCCAGGCCTCCTTCATATGTCATATGGACTGAAGAACTTGTGGATCTAAAGGCGGAGAAGGCCTGGAATTACTTCAAGTCAAAGTTGCAGAAACTATCAGAAGCCTGCATCCCAAGAAAGGGGAAAAAATTCATAGGCAGGAGTTGTAGAGCAAACTGGATGAGCAAGCATCTCAGACAGGTGATGAAGAAAAAGCAGAAAGCCTACAAGGAGTGGAAGATGGGAGGGATCAGCAAGGAAAGCTACCTTATTGAGGTCAGAACATGTAGGGATAAAGTGAGAAAGGCCAAAAGCCATGTAGAGTTGGCAATGCGTCAACTAGTAGTTCTTAATCTTTCCTCTGCTCATCCCTTTGGACCACTGATAATTTCTCACTCATCTCCGAGAACTCTAGGTGTTACACCTTCCAGGAAGTGAGATACAGGAAGTGTTACACCTTCCAAAGTGAAAACAGTATTCCAGGTACGGTAACACCACCGAGTTAGAGAGAGCAGAAAAGTGAGAGCTTCTAAGGCCTGGTCTACACCTAAAACCTCAATTCGACCAAGTTATATTGCAGAAAGACATAGTTAAGCCAACTTAAACCCTGGTATAGACACTGTAGACTCAGCTACTGCCTCATGAAAGCATGGATTTACTACAGCAAACTGTCACTGTTGTAAATGTCTATGCTACAACAGCATAACTTCAGCATTGCAGCTGTGCCGCTGAAGTGCTTGTAGTGTAGACATAGCCTGAGACTAGATGCTTCCACACATATAGCTTAAAACAACATTAGCCTTTTTAGCTGCATGCCTATTTCACTGTTTGCTAGGAACTTTGGATCTCTCAGCATTACTGCTCTCTAGGTTTCTAGCTCCTAGTGAATATGTTTAACCTCAGGTTAGATTGCAGTTTTATAAGATTATTCTCCTTTTGTTTTTAAATCTCTTTGGGTCCCCCTATGCTATTTCTCTGCCCTCGCTACTGTTTGCTACTTCTCCTGATTTAGCATCATATGAATGTCATTAACATACTTTTTCTCTCATACAGAAGACAATTGCAGAGCTTTAATTTGTAAGATCTACAGCATTTTCTGCTTTACAAACATGAGAGTTTAGACTAAGATGCTCAAAGCTGCCTAAGGGACTAACTGGAATGGGCACTGGGCATCCAAAATCCCCTCGACATGGCTTGGCAAGACTCTGCCTCCAAGTCTCTCCAAACCCCATGGGATGGGGTAAGCAAGTGGCCCTGTTTTATAAAGTAGCAATGGAAGCACACAGAGGTACTTGAACTGTCAGGTGTTTGGGGCAGGAATAGTCTTTGTTCCATGTCTGTACAGTGCTTAGCACGTTGGGGCTCCTAGATGCTACCAAAACACAAATCCCCAATACCCCAGACCAATACGTGACTTACTTAGGCTTGTCACAATCTTGTTGTGTAAAGCCAGGGACACAACCCAAATCGTAGGCCACCAGTCCTGTGCAATTCTCTAGAGATAAGACCCAACCCTGTGGCACCCAACTAGACAGTTATCTAGGTATCTGGCTGTGTCACTATTACCCAGGAGTCAATCCCACCACATTGTCATTTATTACCCTGCTAATTTTCAATCCATAGCACAAGCAGCATAGACAAGATAATCTGAATTAATTGCAGTAGAAGATTGAGACAGGCTAACGAAGTTTGACATCTTAATTTCCCCAACAGTTGCTCCGTCAGAAGAAAATAATCAAGCAAAGCTGTTACCAAAATGGAGGAAAGGAGTAGGCCAGTAAAGTGATGTGAAAGATACTGTGTCCCCAACTAAAGGGCAATAACAGTGTATCAGAACCAAAACCAGCCAAGAGATAGCTGTACATTAAACAGGGAGGGGGTGGAGTGGAACAAGGGAGAGAAGTTCAGTTGGCTTCTATAGGCTGCCTGGTGGAATTTCCTGTTCCACCTGTTCTGTATCGTCTCCTCCCACGCAGCCCCCACTTTGTTCAGGAGTGTCACAGGGAACCTAGCCCATATCTGTCAAATGAAACTTAGCTTGGCATTTTTCAAACACCTCCCCCCACCAATCCCCAGTCTTTAGTCATCAGGCTCTGCATTTCCAGCTCTGTTCGGAACAGATTACACAAGACAGGACTTTATACAGGGCCCCATATCTGGGAACTCATGCTGCTTTGGCATGGGTGTCCTCACTCCCCAGCAGTGTGGCAGGTTTTTAATGATTTTTATGGTACCTGCTTCCCCACTTGTTTTACGTTTCCTTGTGGGGCTGTTTCCTCCAGATACCTACGACTTGCAGACAAGTTACCACCCCCCACCAGCATGAGTATTCAAGACTTGCTAGTGATCTCGTGTGCTTCTGAAGCTTGACACATTTAGTGTGTGCCTCAAGTGGACGGGCTGCTTCTACAGTGGCAGTCATCTTGGATGCCTGATTGCTAAGTGCTAGTCTTGGCTCTGCCTTGGGCAACTCACACAAGTTCCTCAGTTTCCCCATCTGTAAGTATTCTTATACTTAAATCCCTTCTCACAAGGGGTGGCTTTCTACAGTGTCGTAAGTGTGGGGGTGGTTTACAAGACAGGGTTCCTCCCTAGGAAGTTCGCAATCTAAAGCCCAACTGATTCCACAACCATACCAGGGTGACAGCTAAATCATGGCTCCGCTTTGTAGTAGAGACAGGTCTTGGGAGGATTCAGCCCTGTCTGCGAAGGCTCTTACACAGTCCATTGGGAACAGCCAAGATCCAGTCAACACCATCAAATGTAAACCATGCTTTGATTATTCTGAGGAAAAGCTATGTTGTAACCGGGAACAGTGACAGGGCTGCTCTGTAGATGGGGCCTTATAACCAATTTAAATGGTCACAAAATCTGCCCATGAGCCACCCATGATTATAGAAAAGGAATACTTTGGCACCTTAGAGACTAACCAATTTATTTGAGCATAAGCGTTCGTGAGCTACAGCTCACTTCATCGAATGCATCGGAAAGCTTATGCTCAAATAAATTGGTTAGTCTCTAAGGTGCCACAAGTACTCCTTTTCTTTTTGCGAATACAGACTTACACGGCTGTTACTCTGAAACCCGGGTTTATGACATTTCCTTCTATGTCGCAATGCTAGGAAACTATGACTTAGCCTAGTATCTACCAGGATAGAAACAGTTCCCTAACAGCTGTATCCTGTTATTTTTCCTGACCACAAAGTTAAGCTATACATTTCACAGCTGCCTCTAAATATGGTTCTTGCAGTGTTCAGGCCTGTGACACAATGACGATTAGGGTAAGCAGAAGACAGTTTTAAAGTCCCATGATCAGGTTTCACTACATTTTGGCTCTTTGGTATACCTTAAGTTAAATGATTTTAACTGTACCAGTATTGCCGGCCCACCAGGGACAAAGAGTGGGGGGGGGGGGGGAGCAAGTCAGGAGAGAAATGACAGAGGTGTAAAATGAAGTGTTAATGGACATTATGGCTGTAAATTGAACCAGGCAGAAAAAAAACCTAAGCAGCAGTCTGAAAAAATGGCTGCTAAGTGGCAGCAAAAGGCTGGAAATGGGGCAAATCAAATTAGTCATTGATTAAAGTCAGTTAAGTAACTAGAGAGTGAAAACCAGTAATATGCAGTACTAATCACATGGAAAACTGAATCAGCTAGATGACAATCAACGGAATTCACACACAAAGTAGGGGTTCTTTGAGTCAGCGAGTTTCAGCCTGAGCAGTAGTCTGGAGTCTACACAACAACATGAAGACACCATTTCACAATTAAACAGATATAACCCATAAAGACATGCCACGGTGCCTAGGTCCAAATTATAGCACATAGAACACCCTCCAAGGACTGCTGTACCAGTGGCCTTGCCCCACAGTTCCCTGAGAGAAACGTTTGTGGGAGTAAATCCATTACTGGTTGGTCCTGCACCAATGTTTCAGAATGTGAACCACAGAAGTGGCATTTTTCAGTGTACACAAAAGGAGATATCTTACTACATTAATAGCAACCTGTGTGGCATAAGGGACTCTATTCTTTGGAAGACAAGACACAGGACCATAGATTTTTAAGTGCTGGAAGGGCCAGTGTGGCCATCTAGTCTGACCTCCTGCAGAGCACAGGCCTTAGAATTTCACCCAGCAATTCCTGTCTCAAGTCCAAGACCTTGTAACTGAGCTACAGCATATATTTTCAGAGTATATAT